AACACACTCTGATATTTGCTATTTATTTTCTTTCTCAGTGCTGGTAACAACCTACTAAATTGATTTTATAAGTCACTCTTGGGAAACAACCTACAGTTTGAATAACACTGGTTGAATAAACTACTAGTCAGACTTCCAGAAGAAAGAGTGAGAGAATGGGGCTGAGGCAATATTTAAAAGAGATGTTGTCACACATGCTCCAATATGGATGAACCTGGAGGACGTTATGCTAAGTGAAGTTCGCCCGATACAAAAGGACAAATACAGTATGATTCCACTTCTGTGAGGTTTCTAGAGTAGTCAAATTCACAAAGACAGAAAGTAGAGTAACCCCTGGTTACTAGGGGTCAGGGGAAGGTGGAATGGGGAGTTATTGTTTACTGGGTGTGGAGTTCCAGTTTTGCGAGAGGAAGAGTTCTGCAGATGGATGGTGGTGATGGTTGCCCAACAGTGTGAATGTATTCACTATCACTGAATGGCACACTTAACATAGGTAACCCAGTAAATTATGTGTTATGTGTATCTTACAACAATAAAAACCAATGTTTCATGTTGTCTGAGAACTTTCCAGAAGGATGAAAGATACCAAACAACAAATACAGAAAACCCTGAGAATTCAAGCAATGTAAGTGCTATAGACTATAGACTGAAGGTTTGTATCCAACCCCCTGCCCCAGTTCCTATGTGGAAACCTCATCCCCCATGGGATGGTGTTGGGAGGTGGGGTGTGTACAAGGAGCTTCGGTCATGAGGGTGAAGCCCTCATCAACAGGTCTAGTGTCCTTAGAGAGAAGCCCCAGAGCACAGGAGACTGTCAGACTGTGAACCAGGAAGTAGGATCTCACCAGACATGGAGTCTGCCAGCACTTTGGTCTTGGACATCCTGGCCTCCAGAACCGTGAGAAATAACTGCTGTTATTTAAGCTATCCATTCCATGGCATTTTGTTATGGCAGCCCGAATAGTCTAAGACAATAAATAAAAAAACACATCATGGTAAAACTGCAGAACACCAGAATAGGTGGAAAAACAGACCATCTTTGAAGGGATGATGAGGATATTATCATCTGAAATCTCAACAGTAACAATGGTAGCTGGAAACCTTAGTAAACCAACCAAAATATCTTTCAAGAACAAGGGCAAAATAAAGTCATTTTCAGATTAACAAAAACAGAGTTTGGCCCAATAAACCCTCAATGAAATAGAATTTAAAGAATGTACTTCAGGCATAAGGAACGTGATCCTGGTTGTTAAATTCTGAGATGCAAGAAGAAAAGATGCGCAAAGAAATTGGTAACTGTGGTTGAGTCTAAACTAACATCAACCGTATAAAACAATTTAGTAATGACTTATGGGATGAAAAGGAAAAGATTAAACCTGAAATACACCACAATTAAGGCATATAATTTGGGGGATGGGTGGTTAGAGTTAAAGTGTCCCAAAGTCCTTGTATTTTAATGAAGCATGGTAAAGACATTTTAAAAATTGGACTTTCATAAGTACCCATGTCACAACTTCTAGGGTAATCATGAAAACAACAGAGATAATGTATAAGAGGAAGAAAAGAGAATGAGAAAAAAGAAAATCAGCCCTAAGGAAGAAAAGAGAGGAAAAAGAAAAAAAAAAACCATAGGCACAGCAAATAGAAAGCACAAAATAAGGTGGTAGAAATAAATCTAGATGTATTAGTAAATATAATAAGTGTAAATGGACCAAATGCTCTAGTTAAAAGACAAAGATTATCTTTAAAAAAACTTATTACGAAAAATTTCAAGTATACAGAAAAGTAGAAAGAATAGTATAAAGAATACCCAGATGCCCACTAGAGTAGAGTCAACATTAACTATTCGCTGTTTGTTTTCTCTACATATATATATGTGTATGGGAGGAGATGATTAAGAACATGCATATTTTTTTAAAGATTTATTTATTTATTTGAGAGAATGAGAGAGAGAAAGGGAGAGAGAGAGCGCACGAACATGCAAAGTGTAGGGAGGGGCTGGGAGAGTCTTAAACAGACTCTGCCTGAGCAGGGCTGGATCTCATGATTCTGAAATCACCACCTGAGCTGAAATCAAGAGTCGGTCACTTAACCGGCTGAGCCACCCAGACGCCCCTTAAGAATACATATTTTATGTAGTAAACATTACATAATGACATAATATTTAAATAGCAGTAATGATGTAATGTTCACTTCGGAGGCCAAGCAGATTTAGGTTCCCAGCAATTTTTAATGACATAATTTATTTGTGTGGTTATTTTTTCAGAGGCTGGCTCTCCAGCTGGTTCTAGTTAGAGGGTAGGAACCAGGTCAATTTCTCTGATCATTTTATTTGTAAATGTTTGTTGCATATATTAGTAAAGGATGCAGTACAATGCTTGTTACATAGTAAACATTTAATAGAGAGTAGCTTTCATTCATTCGATGGTGCTGTTATTGAAAGCGTTCAGCAGAGTGGCACAAAAGCAGCAAAAAATAATTGGTAGCTTGCTATATATTTATTGCTTACCATACGTCACAGTGCCTAGCACATACCACTCACTTATAAACATGCTTATGATAAGAATAAATAGTACTTTCATTATTATTCAGTCTCTACCAGTGCCTGGCACTACATAAGCAAGGGTAAAGTGGAAGCTTCTTCTTTTTATTGACTAAAGCACTTTACACAGTGGTTGGTCCCCATGGGCCCTGAGTAAATAACCTTTGAGATGACTGTCCTCACTTCTGAGCATCCCGGACGGCCCCGCCTCCAGACCTGCATGACGCCCCGCCCCCTGCTACTCGGTAGCCCCGCCCTGCGGCCGCGCCGCGCCTGCGCACAGCGCCGGGAGGGGCTCCGCGCGCGCAG